TGTAAAAAAAAAAAAAAAAACCTTCAACAAATGAATCCTCAATAGCTAGTGTATGTGGTATTTGCCACAGCAGGTTTTGACATAATATTCAACATTAGTGGATCAATATACACGATTAGTATAGTCTAAATCAAAATCTCATAAAACAAAGTTCTTTTCCTAAAGCAAAAGGCCTTACAAATTGGGAGCCAAAACAAAGATGAAACCAAACAAAAATGCATTCCAATCACATAGATTCAGAATGCATCCTGGCTCAACTGTCAGACTTCAAAACATTATCACATCCATGTCATTAAGAATAACTCAACCCTTCTTTAGCCCGGTTCATCACTTTTTCGACCCGTTCCTTCTCCTTGTTCAAACCCTTCTTATCGAGAGCTTTAACCAAAATCTTATACGCAGAATCCTTGGGTACAAAACCCTTATCCACCATCTCCTCAAAAAATGAGCACGCCTTAGCCACATTCCCACTCTTACACAGCCGTCTGACCAAAAGCGAATAAGTCCCCACATCAACGCTCACATCGTTTTTAAACATGTGACCCAACAAAAACGAGAGCACCTTCATTCTCCCCAACCTGCAGCTCATTTTCAATAAGGGCGAGTACGTATCGAAATTTGGCCTGCATTTATTTTCCTCCATTTTCTTAAGCAACTTAAGCGCTTTCTCCTCTTGAGACCCATTATAGGCAATCATAATAAGCATGTTGTAAGTCCACACATCGGGAACCACACCTTGCTTGGACATGTCATCAAAAACCTCGTCAGCATCTTTAACCCTTCCCCTTCGACTCAGAGCACTAATGAGGGCAGTGTAAAATGGGGCATCAAGCGGGTAATTGTTAGTCTTCATTAACTCATAAATCTCCATGGCTTTATTCATTTCCTTTGCATTTGCATAGGCCTTCATCATGATGGTGAAAGTCACCACACTTGGATTAATACCATCTCTCTCCATTTCCACTAAAGTGGAATCGACTTTACGAAAATCCTTTTCTCGACAATAGCTCTCGATGAAGCTAGTGTAGGTAACTGAGTCAGGGCAGAAGCCGTGGGCCGGCATCTCGTTCACGGTTTTTCTTGCCGTCTCGATTTGCCTGATTCTGCACCAACCGTGGACCAACATATTGTAAGTATGTTGATTAGGAAGAATATTCTCTTTAAATTTGAAATAAACTCTCTCGGCGTGCTCAACGCTGCCTTGTTTTACTAACGCGTCGATTAATATATTTAAGGCCGTTATATCCTTTTCGATTCCGAATAATTCCATACTTTCGAATGCCTCGATTGCGTCCTCGTACTTGCCGCCCCTTGCAAGACGCCTCATGATTTGCGCCATCGTGTCCAAAGTGAAGTACCCTTCTACCAATTTCATTTCCTCCGCCAAATCCCACATTTTCTCAAATTTCTTTGCTTTCCCCAAAATGTCGACCAATAGGTTGTAAATTCCGGGCGGGTGTTTAAACCCGTTTCGCGACTCGGCCCACTTGAAGAAACCAAGGGACGGGACCCACTCATGGCGAAATCTACAGAGTACTTGCTCAACTAGGTCCTCGGACAAATCAACATCACAACCCTCTAATGCTTTAATAACTAAATCCGGGGATTTGAATTGGCTGCTGCTCCTTAGGATGCTACTAATCTTGTCCACATCACTCTCGATAATGTCATTCACGATAATTTTCATATCATCTTCTTTGACGACAGACTTGTGGTCTTCAATCCAGTACGATAATGACGGAGGGACAAAATCGTCATTTTCCAGCTTGTTATCTGTTCTGGACTTAACAGGATTCTTAACCCAACCAGGAAGCTCGGGTGACTCCACCGTGGTTGGTTTGTCGTCAGTTATAAGTGGCTCGGCAGTAGAGGAAAATGCATTGTGCAATGGAATTGTAAATATGGAGTAGTCATAAAGGAAATGATCTTGCTTGTAACGATTCAAACACGATTGAGCCTGCGATCGTGACAGAGAATACAAATGCTTCAATTTTGAAAGCATTGTTGGGTTACCTGATAAGACAAAACACGAAATAAAGTCTAGCGATCAATCAGAAATTTAGAACATAGAAATGCAGATAGTACAATAGTGCAATAAAAGACATTTCAAATCTTGCAATGAATTTAACGTAACAATACACTCGAGTGTTCTTCGCCCACAGAAAAATGAAAAATAAAAAGGAAAAATGACAAGGGTAAAACTTAAAAACTATGAAACGCATAAAATGTCAAATGGGCATTTCCTCAAACAGATGGCGTGCATACATAACAAACTACACCAAC